GTCCAGCGAATGGAAATACCTCCTGCATACCAGATATTTATATTGTGATTCATAACAGTAGCAAATGACAGTTATGAAGTAACAACAAAAATAATGTTATGGTTGGGAGTCAGCACAACATGAGGAACTGTATTGAGGGATCACAGCATTAGGAAGGTTGGAAAACACTAGTGTAGTGAAAGTTGCACAGAGAGAGAGAGGAAAGCGAGGCAACCCACGTGGCGAGAGGCGGCTTTCCTGCCCGACTTTTCCGGCAGCGCAGAACTTCCCCTTTAGGCGGTGCGAGGCGACCGCAAAAAGTTCTCCATCCTTCCCCGGGTGGACTTCAAGAATTGGGGGAAAGGGGAGGGGAGGGGAGGGGAGGGGAGTCAAAGCTCCCCTTTGACCCCCTTCCCTTTTTCCAAATCCCCCTTTTCCCTGAGAAAGGAGGGACAGAAGGGGAAACTCAAGGCGCCTTCCTCTCCTCTCTGATCTCCCCCTGGCTTTGAGAAGCGGATCTTTCCAAGGAATGGGAAAGGAAGCTCCCCAATCCCAGCCAGAAAGGGGGCCAAAGCCAGCTCTGTCACTCCCAGTCCGGCCCAAGACGCTTCCAGGGAAAAGGGACAGCCACACTGTATAGGTTAGCAATGCAGTTTGATATTCCCTTTGCTTCAATGCCGTGCAGACCCGGGAGATATAGTTTTGGTGCCTCGCCAAACTACAGCTGCTCCCCGTTATAATTCTATCCCTCTCCCGATTTCTCCTCTCAAAACACTCCAGAGGGCAATGTATTGTCGAAGGCTTTCATGACCGGAATCGTTGGGTTGCTGTGAGTTTTCCGGGCTGTCTGGCCATGTAGCATTCTCTCCAGACGTTTCACCTGCATCTATCCACACCAAAATAGTAGATGTGGCTCTTAATGAGACATGCCGCATTATCATCCCCTGTTTGGGTATCAGCCTGGGAAGGAATCCCACTGGAGCATTGCAACACACCCAAATACCTGGGAGTCACTTTGGACTGTGCTCTGACCTACAAGAAGCACTGCCTGAACATCAAGCAAAAAGTGGGCGCTAGAAACAACATCATACGAAAGCTGACTGGCACAACCTGGGGATCACAACTAGACACAGTGAAGACATCTGCCCTTGCGCTATGCTACTCTGCTGCTGAGTATGCATGCTAAGTGTAGAACACATCTCACCACACTAAAACAGTGGATGTGGCTCTTAATGAGACATGCCGCATTATCACAGGGTGTCTGCGCCCCACACCACTGGAGAAATTATACTGCTTAGCCGGTATTGCACCACCTGACATCCGCCGGGAAGTAGCAGCCAATAGTGAAAGGACCAAGGCAGAGACATCTCCAGCTCATCCCCTGTTTGGGTATCAGCCAGCATGTCAACGACTTAAATCAAGACATAGTTTTCTTAGATCTACAGAGACACTCGCTGGAACACCCCAGCAAGCGAGAGTCCAAAAGTGGCAGGCCCAAACCCAGCACCTCAATCCATGGGTGATACCAGATGAGAGACTCCCCCCTGGGCACACAGAAGACTGGGCAACTTGGAAGGCGCTGAACAGACTGCGCTCTGGCACCACGAGATGCAGAGCCAATCTTAAGAAATGGGGCCACAAAGTGGAATCCTCGGCATGCGAGTGTGGAGAAGAGCAAACCACTGACCACCTGCTGCAATGCACCCTGAGCCCTGCCACATACACAATGGAGGACCTTCTTGCAGCAACACCAGAAGCACTCCAAGTGGCCAGATACTGGTCAAAGGACATTTAACCAACTACCAAGTTGCAAAATCTGTGTGTTTTTTTTCTTTTCTTTTTAATCTGTGTGTTTGTTTTGTTCTGTTAGAATTGAAATACAATGGTATGGTTGCTGATGACACGATAAATAAATAACCTGCATCTATGGCAGCCATCTTCAGAAGTTGTGAGGTCTGTTGGAAACTAGACAAGTGAGGTTTATATATCTACTAGCAGTCCCCACCCACGCGTTGCTGTGGCCCATATGGGGGTTCTGTGTGGAAGGTTTAGCCCAATTCTATCGTTGGTGGGGTTCAGAATGCTCTTTGATTGTAGGTGAACAACAATCAAATCCCAGCAACTACAACTCCCAAATGTCAAGATTCTATTTTTCCCAAACTTCACCAGTGTTCACATTTGGGCATATTGAGTATTCGTGTAGAGTTTGGTCCAGATTCATCCTTGTTTGAGCCCAAAGTGATATCTGGATGTAGGTGAACTACAACTCCAAAATCAATGGATATTCCCCTCCAAACCCTTCCAGTATTTTCTGTTGGTCATGGGAGAACTGTGTGCCAAGTTTGGCCCAATTCTATCGTTGGTGGGGTTCAGAATGCTCTTTGATTGTAGGTGAACTATAAATCCCAGCAACTACAACTCCCAAATGACAAAATCAATTTTTTTTAGTGACGGACATACATTGGGTTGTTAGGTGTCTTGTGTCCAAATTTGGTGTCGATTCGTCCAGTGGTTTTTGATTTCTGTTAATCCCACAAACGAACATTAAATTTTTATTTATATAGATGGGTGGGAAACTAGGAAAATGAGGTTAATATATCTGTGTTATGTCCAGGGTGGTAAGAAGCAAGAAGCCAGACCTTGAAACTGCTAGGCCATTCAATTCTTATCAAGGACAGCAACACTAAAAAAAACAAGGGAAATTCCCAAGAAGAGTCAATCAGGGCTAGCGAACACCTCTCAACAAAGGATTCCCCCAGACAGCAATCACCCAGGCTTGATTGGGGATGATATATCTGTTGAATGTTCAAGGTAGTAAGAAGCCAGACCTTGAAACTGCTAGGCCATTCAATGCTTATCAAGGACAGTATGAAGCCAGACCTTGAAACTGCTAGGCCATTCAAGGCTTATCAAGGACAGTATGATGCCAGACTTTGAAACTGCTAGGCCATTCAATGCTTATCAAGGACAGCAACACTCAAAAAACAGGGGAATTCCCAAGAAGAGTCAATCAGGGCTAGCGAACACCTTCCAACAAATGATTCTCCCAGACTGCAATCACCCAGGCTTGATTGGGGTTGATATATCTGTTGAATGCCCAAGGTAGCAAGAAGCCAGACCTTGAAACTGCTAGGCCATTCAATGCTTATCAAGGACAGCAACACTCAAAAAACAGGGGAATTCCCAAGAAGAGTCAATCAGGGCTAGTGAACACCTCCCAACAAATGATTCTCCCAGGCTGCAATCACCCAGGCTTGTTTGGGGTTGATATATCTGTTGAATGTCCATGGCAGTAAGTAGCCAGACCTTGAAACTGCTAGGCCATTCAATGCTTATCAAGGAGAGCAAATAAAGAGCAACATTAAAAAAAAACCCTGATTGAAAAATCAATCAGGGCCAGCTAACACCTCCCAAGCAAGGTAGGTTTATATATCTGTGGAAGATCCAGGGTGGAAGATTTTTAAAAGTCTAAAATTAGGACAGTAAATAAAGAACCACAGTCTGAAAACAGGGGATTTAGGGCCTCTTAACAAAGGATTCCCCCAGGCAGTAATCAGACAGGTTTTGAAGCTACAAAACCATTAAATGCTAATCAAGGTGGCCAATTGCAACATTCACCTGTGTCTGAAGCAGACAAGAGTCCTTTCTCCCTCCCTGGACATCATTCCACAGATACAAGCTAGAATGTGTCCAGAGGAGGGCGACTAAAATGATCAAGGGTCTGGAGAACAAGCCCTATGAGGAGCGGCTTAAAGAGCTGGGCATGTTTGGCCTGAAGAAAAGAAGGCTGGGAGGAGACATGATGAGGGCCATGTATAAATATGTGAAGGGAAGTCATAGGGAGGAGGGAGCAGGCTGCCCTGAAGACTAGGATGCAGAACAATGGCTTCAAACTACAAGAAAGGAGATTCCATCTGAAGATTTGGAAAAACTTCCTGACTGTGAGAGAGCCGTTCAGCAGTGGAACTCTCTGCCCCGGAGTGTGGTGGAGGCTCCTTCTTTGGAAACTTTGAAACAGAAGCTGGATGGGCATCTGTCAGGGGTACTTTGATTGTGCTTTTCCTGCTTGGCAGGGGGTTGCAGTAGATGGCCTGTGAGGAAGAACTTCCTGACTGTGAGAGCTGTTCAGCAGTGGAAATCTCCGCCCCGGAGTGTGGTGGAGGCTCCTTCTTTGGAAGCTTTTAAACAGAGGCTGGATGGCCATCTGTCGGGGGTGATTTGAATCTTGGCAGAATAGGGTTGGACTGGACGGCTTATGAGGTCTCTTCCAACTCTAGGATTCTATACATAAACCTCATTTTTCTAGTTTCCAACAGACTTCACAACCTCTGAGAATGCCTGCCATAGATGCGGGCGAAACGTCAGGAAAGAATGCTTCTGTGACATGGCCAGACAGCTCGGAAAACTCACAGCAACGCACTCAAAGGACACTTCAAGTAGTGAACACGGAATAGTGAAAACAAGAGGTTCCAATAGCTTCAAACCACTGATCCAGAGCATTGAGTGAGAGTTAAAGACGGGGCCAAACTGCATCACTTCCACAATGTAGACGCGCCCAAAGAGTTCTCTCTCTAAATTTTCCTAGTTTCCAACAGACCTCACAACCTCTGAGGATGCTTGCCATAGATGCAGGCGAAACGTCAGGAGAGAATGCCTCTAGGCCATGGCCATATAGCCCGAAAAAACCTACAACAACCCAGCTCTCTCTCTCTCTCTCTCTCTCTCTCTCTCTCTCTCTCAAACGCCTCCAAAAGTGAACTTTCCTCCAAGTTACCCTTCCTGGCTCGAAGGGGAGGTTCCTTGCCACTTCCACCCCGATGCCTTGGCCCCCCAAAGGGGATCGTCCCGCTTTTTCCTTGCCCTGCGGACGCCCCCTCTTCCCCACTCCTCTCTCCGACCCCAGAGCTCCAGCCGGACCTTCTCGGGGGCTTCCCACGGAGCCTGCCTCTCCCTCTCCCTCTCCCTTCTCCTTTCGGATCCTCCCAAAACAGGGATCCCCACCCGATCGCTAAAGCACTCACCCTCACTGAGCCTGAGCAGATCCGATCTCATCCCTTCGCCGCCTCCTCCTCCTCCTCCTTTGTGTCTTTCCGAGTCCGATCCTTGCCGTCTCCTTCCTTCCTTTCCTTCCTTCTCTTTCTCTCTCTCTCTCTCTCTCTCGGCGGCAACAATAGCCAGGCGAGCGCCCAAGCCCCGGGCTGGAGGCTTCCCCAGTGCCTAATATAGCGGCTCCCGCCCCACCGAAGCCACGTGGATGAGAAAGAGAGAGAGAGACGGATTGAGAGAGAGAGAGATTGAGAGAGAGAGAGAGCAACCCGGCGCAACACAAGCTCCTCCTCAAAAAGGGGAGGAGGAGGAGAAAGAGAAGGAGACCCTCTCTGCCGCTGCTCGCTTTCTCTTTCTCTCCTCTCTCTCTCTCTCTCTGGCCCCAGTCCGGATGGGAAAGGAAAGGAAAGGCGGGCAAATGGGGATGGGAAAGGGAAAAGGAACTGAGATGCGGCCTCCATCCCGAGAAGAGCCTCCGGAGGAGAAAGAGCGGATGGGACGGAGCCGGTGTGTGAGTGAGAGGCGAGATCATTGTGTGAGAGAGTGCTTAGTGTGACTTGTGTGAGAGAGACTATAGGAAAGCCGGGCAAATGGGGATTGGAAAGGGAAACGGAACTGAGATGCAGAAGAGCCTCCAGAGGAGAAAGAGTGGATAGGACGAAGCCAGTGTGTGAGTGAGAGGCGACACCATTGTGTGAGAGAGTGCTTCATGTGACTGTGTCAGAGAGACTATAGGAAAAGTAGGCAAATGGGGATGGGAAAGGGAAAGGCAGCTGAGATGCGGTCTCCATCCCAAGAAGAGCCTCCGGAAGAGATGGGGCAGATGGGACGGAGCCAGTGTGTGAGTGAGAGGCCAGATCATTGTGTGAGAGAGTGCTTCATGTGACAGTGTGAGACTATAGGAAAGGCAGGCAAATGGGGATGGGAAAGGGAAAAGGAACCGAGATGCGGCCTCCATCCCAAGAAGAAGAGTCTCCGGAGGAGAAAGAGCGGATGGGACAGAGCCGGTGTGTTAATGAGAGGCGAGATCCTTGTGTGAGAGAGTGCTTCATGTGACTTGTGTGAGAAAGACTATAGGAAAGGCGGGCAAATGGGGATGGGAAAGGGAAAAGGAACCGAGATGCGGCCTCCATCCCAAGAAGAAGAGTCTCCGGAGGAGAAAGAGCGGATGGGACAGAGCCGGTGTGTTAATGAGAGGCGAGATCCTTGTGTGAGAGAGTGCTTCATGTGACTTGTGTGAGAAAGACTATAGGAAAGGCGGGCAAATGGGGATGGGAAAGGGAGCTGTGATGCAACCTCCATCCCAGTAAGAACCTCCGGAGGAAAAAGAGTGGAATAGACGGAGCCGGTGTGTGAGTGAGAGGCGAGACCATTGTGTGAGAGAGTGCTTCATGTGACCGTGTGAGAGAGAGACTATAGGAAAGGCAGGCAAATGGGAAAGGGAAAAGGAACTGAGGTGCAGCCTCCATCGGAAGAAGAGCCTCCGGAGGAGAAAGATCTGACGGGACGGAGCCATTGTGTCAGTGAGAGGCGAGACCATTGTGTGAGAGAGTGCTTCATGTGACCGTGTGAGACTATAGGAAAGGCAGGCAAATGGGGATGGGAAAGGGAAAAGGAACTGAGATGCGGCCTCCATCCCAAGAAGAGCCTCTGGAGGAGAAAGAGTGAGCTGGTGTGTGAGTGAGAGGCCAGATCATTGTGTGTGAAAGTGCTCAATGTGACTGTGTGAGAGAGACTATAGGACTGTCTTTATGTGTATGCGGTAGAGTGTTTGTGACTGAGACACAGAGAGATCATAGGAGAGTGGGTGTCAGAAGAGAGCCATATGTGGGTGTGTTTATGTTTGTGTGTCAGAGAGACTTGTAATGATAGTTTTTAAAGGCATGAGTGAGTGCTTAATGTGACTGTGTGAGATAAACTATATGACTGTGTTTATGTGTATGAGAGTGAGAGAACACATAAGAGTTTGTGACTGAAAGAGAGAGAGATCATATGGGTGTGCATTTATGTGTATGAGGTAGACAACATGAGTGTTTGTGACTAAAAGAGAGAGATCATATGAGAATGGGTGCAGAAGAGAGCCATATGTGTGTGTGTGTTTAAGTTTGTGTGTGAGAGAGAGAGCACATGAGTGGGTGTGTGATTGAGGAAGAGAAAGTATGAGAGTGTGCATGAGAAGGGGCTTTATGGGTGTGTGTTTCTATGTGTCTGTGAGAAGGGGGAGACCATATCAGTGAGTGTGGATGTTCAAGAGAGATTGTTTGAGTGTGTTATGTGTGTAAGAGAGAGATCATATGAGTGTGCATTTATGTGTGTGTGAGAGAGCATGCATATGAATGTTTGTGACAGAGAGATCATAACAGAGTGTACATGAGAGGGGCTTTGTGTGTGAGAGAGAAAAGGTGACCATATCAATGAGTGTGTATGTGATAGAGACTATATGAGTGTGTATGTGTGAGAGAGACTATATGAGTGTGTTTTTATGTTTGTGTGAGACAGCACTCATGAGTGTTTGTGACAGAGAGAGAAACCATATGACCGTGTGAATGTGACTGGCGAGTTTGAATGAGAAAGTGTGCAAGAGGCTCTATAGGTATATAAGTGTGTTTGTGAGAGAGAAGGTGGAGACCATATGACTGAGTGTGGATGTGAGAGAGACAGGCAATATGAGTGTGAATATGTGTGAGATGGGGGTCATACAGAGTGCGCATTTATGTTTGTGTGGAAGAGAGACCATAGGAGAGCCTGTATGTGTGTGAGAGAGGGGAGCCTTATGAGCATGTGTGTGTGAGAAGGAGGAGACCATATTTGTGGGTGTGTATGTGTGTGAGAGAGAGAATGTGTCAGTTTGTGTATGAGAAAGTGACCATACCTTTGAGAGAGTGACTATATGACTGTGTGTATATGTGTGTGCAAGAGAGGTAGGTGTGTGTGTGAGAGAGAGAGAACATATGTGTGCATATGAGAGAGAGCTAGAGAGAGCACATGAATATTTGTGTGTGACTGCCAGAGAGACCATATGAGAGTGTATATGTGACTGGAGAGACTATATGAGAAAGCATGTGTGTGTGTGTGTGTGTGTGTGTGAGAGAGAGAGAGAGTATGTGTTTGAGAGATAAGAGGGGACCATATGAGTGAGTGTGGATGTGTAGAAGAGAGACAAATCACCTGAAAGTGTAGATATGTATGAAAGAGGCCATATGAGTGTGTGTGAGAGAGAGGCAGAGAGAAATGACAGTGTGTGAAAGAGAGACATGGATGTACACAACTCCAGTTAATCTCGTATGATTCATTCCTCAGCCATTCATTACAGTTGAAGAAAGACTGAACCCTATCTCTTAGCCCTTTATACCAGAGTAAACTCACTCGGTTTATGAATTTTCTTCAGTCATAAAGCACCATTTAACTAGATGTCTATCAGTTAGGACTGAAAACATTCAGGACAGAGAGTTTTAAAGTTTCCCTTTTAAGGCAAGTCTCTCAGCTAACCCTTGCAATGATAGGTTTTAAAAGCTGGCTCTGTGATAGATGATCAAGTCCCAAGTGGGAGCAAAGGCTAGAGATACTCTTCAAGATCCCATATTTTCCAACTGTCCCCATCTTGGCAGAGATAGTGTCAGGTTAACCATGTGCTATCCCAATTTTTCAGTTGCTTTTAGAAGGTCCGAGTTTTTCCTCCCACTTTCCTTGATCCCATAGTCTAGCTTACTGATGGCCTATGCAGCCTGAAAGACATTAGCATCTGTCAAGTAGGAAATTTAGGTATCGCTTTATGCAGGGAGGCTAATTTAACTAATTTACGACACCATAAAACCTTCCAGCAGCGTGCGTAAGAATGAGGAAGTACTCCATCAAGGACTCGGTGCCACAAGTGGATGGTGAAGTAGCAGCTCCCCCTGTGGTCAGAATTGAGCATACCCTCATGAAGCCGGAAAGTTGGAATATTAAATTGCCTCTGTGTCTATCTATATATGTTGTATGTCTAAATAGCATTGAATGTTTGCCATGTATATGTGCATCATAATCCGCCCTGAGTCCCCTGCGGGGTGGGAAGGGAGAAATATAAATACTGTAAATAAATAAATCTATATAAATAAAAATGTAATGTTCATTTGTGGGATTAACAGAACTCAAAAACCACTGGACGAATTGACACCAAATTTGAACACACGACACCTAACAAACCAATGTATGTCCTTCACTCATAAAAATGATTTTGTCATTTGGGAATTGTAGTTGCTTGGATTTATAGTTCACCTACAATCAAAGAGCATTCTGAACCCCACCAACGATAAAATTGAACCAAACTTGACAGACAGAACTCCTACGACCAACGGAAAATACTGGAAGAGTTTGGTGGGCAGTGTGCTTTGGTTCTGGAGTTGTAGTTCACCTACATCCAGAGAGCACCGTGGACTCAAACAATGATGGATCTGGACCAAACTCTACACAAATACTCAATATGCCCAAATGTGAACACTGGTGGAGTTTGGGGAAAATAGAATCTTGACATTTGGGAGTCATAGTTGCCGGGATTTATAGTTCACTTACAATCACAGAGCATTTTGAACCCCACCAACGATAGAATTGGGCCAAACCTCCCACACAGAACCCCCATGTGGGCTGCAGCAACGCGTGGCAGGGGACAGCTTGTAATAAATAAATATCTTATCCTTCCGAGGAGACTGGCAAAAGCAAACTGCTTCATCCCCGTTTAGTTTGATTTTCCTGATTAATAACTTGCCGTCTTGACCACATTCTGATACCATTTAGCCACACATGAATAGCTTTCATCCATGAAATGTAGTTTGAGGATTGGACCACACTTCTGAAAACCAGGGTTAAATTGCAGAGCCATGGAAACCATTAGGTGACTCTGGATAAGCCACACGTTCTCAGCCTAAGAAGATCAATGGCCAATGCCTTCTGAACAAACCTTGCTGAGAAAACCCTGTGATAGATTTGCCTTGCGATCATGGAGGCAACTTGAAGGCAGAGAACAGCATGCAAGACTAGATTGAGCCAACTCCACAAAACAATCTGGTAAATTTGGAATAGAAGTTTCCTTGGGGATTATCAATTTGAAAAAGGTACTAAATGATCAAGCCATAAGACTGGATCTGCACTGCTATATAATCCAGTTTCAGAATGCAGATTAACTACATTAAACTGGTTTACATGAGTCTACACTGCTATTTAATCCAGTTCAGTGCAGTTAGAACCAGCCTAAGAGATATTAATATAAATATAACAGTTTCCTT